GGGTACCTGCTGGGGTAGTGCGGGGTGGGAGGGGGTGGTTTGAGACTGAAGAGATGAACAGTTCTGAAGAGTCCTTGGAGAGCGCTCGGCTGGGTCAAGGTCCCAATTCTCCTTCACATCCTTCCAGCACAAGAGGCTGTGAGGGTTCGTGGGTCAGGGTCCTATGACTAGGGCCCAAGTTTCATTGAGTTACAGATACTGACAGCTGGCTGGCTCTGCATGCTCTTGTGTCGCTGGGCATGAGAACAGGAACGTCTGTCAGGGAGCTGCTTACGGCTCCCTAAGGAAACACAACCAGAGGGGTGGTGTAGTCATAGGATGGTGCTATGGAGGCGTAGAGGAAGCCTCGTGACAGAAATCAGGGCAGAGCCTGCGGATGCCTGGGTCTCCCTGATCTCTCACTAGCATCATTGTTGCAAGTGAAAGGGGACTTCCCTCCCAGTACTTTTGCTACCCAGGCAGCCCCCAGAGACAACCTGGCTGAGGAGTCTGAAGACCGGGCTTTCCACACAGGGCACTGGCCTTCACTAGCGATGTGCCTCTCTGCTCCACAAGTGTAAAACACACATAGGGACTGGCCCTGGGATTTCCAGGCAGAGTTGAGTGGCACAGACTGCATGCAATGGGAAAAAGGAGGAGGTGGCCTCGTTGAGTTTTAGTTTACAAGGCATACTGTACGTACGTTATTGTACTGAAAGCACACCAAAGTCCTGGGAGGTGGACAAGCCAGGCATTCCTAGCCCCTTGAATAGCATTTATAAGGCACTTTACAAAGAATATCTCTTTTGATCCTCACAACAACTTGGGAGGTAGGGACTATTGTGATTTTACAGGTGAGGCAGAGAGAGGCCTTGTCCAGGGTCTTGCAGCTAGTAAGGGTCTGAAGATGGTTTTGAACTCAGGTCTTCCTGAAGCCAGGGCCAGCTCTCTGGGCACTGTAGCACCCCTTAACTGCCATGAGAGTTGGGGAAGCCAACTGGTCCTAAGTCACTCAGATGTAGCAGCATGGTCCCTAGATTTGGGGGGGGGGGTTTGCACCCTTTGCTGTCTTTCCACATCATCTCCCAGGGATAGCCTGGCCTCCCTTCTTATGGCTTCCATGCCAGGCTTGATGACCAGGCAGCTTCCTGGCATATCTCACTCATCTCCTTATCCAAGTCAACTTTCTGTTGTCTACTGGAGCTGGAGCTGGAAAGAGCCAGTTAGCTATATGGTTTGTTTGGAAGCCAATGACTGAAGTACAAGACATTATCTCCTGACTTAACTTTGTGGTTTGGTTTTATTTACCTCTCTTTCCTAAGTTGAAAATAAACCTTTAAAGAAAAAGGCAGATAGTCTTTGAGCGCAAGCTAAGAGGGGGGAAAAAAAGGACAGTTTTCAAAAACAAATCATAACTTCTTAGAAATGGTGAGCTGGAAACTCCAGCCCAGTGTCCTCCAGGCCCCTTCTTGATGATACTTTTCCTCCTCAGCTTGAACAGCTGCAGGTTAGCAGAAAGGTGGCTCTCCCAGAGTCCCACAAACTCCAAGCACCTACTCGCTGGCTCCTAGGGACAAAGTTCCTCCAGCAGTGGGAAGGAGGACTGGGTGGGGCTGGGGGTGGGACACAGCCTGTCTATAGCATGGCATGGCCCTTAGTCCCAGGCCGGAGCTTTTTATTGGGCTGAAATATATGACTGGCTGCTGGAAGCTAGAGATGGCAAGTTGTTTAACCTCTTCCTTGCCTCAGTGGTTGCTTTTGAAGAACACTTCTGACCACATCTTGTGGTCAGAATTTCTTTTCCCAAATTTGTGTATTTGATAGCCAGGCATCAGGCTGAAGTGCTGGGGGCTGAGAAAGGGGGTGCAAAAACCACCCTGAGCTGAGCTTTAACACAGCACAGAATGGCCGTGGTCAGTGTGTGCCTTCCTGTCCTCCTTCAACATGGGCAAAAGTCCCAGTCTGCAGCCCTTTCCACACTGTGCACACAGAGGTAAAGGGTTCTCTGTGGCTGAAGCGGCTGTCAGATTCATAGCTAGGGCAGAGATTTCATTAGCACTTTCATTTGTACACCACCTTTCTCATAACGATCCTCTGCTGTAGGAATTACAAGTATAACTTCATTTGACAGACGAGGAAATTGAGGCTCAGAGTGGGGAAGGTGACCCACCCACAGTTACACAGCAAAGAAGTGGTCGAGGCCAGCCAAGTCTTTTAGTTCTAAGCCCAAGTGCCCTCCATGAATTTCATCGTGCTAACTTGTCTCTCTGCCTTTTCAATGGGACATGAAAACTAGCCTGTGGAATATCATTCTGACTAAAACTTGCTAGGTGTCTGTAAGCAGCTCAGTTCTCAGATGATTCCACAGATCTAACAGGGGAATTTAGAAGTAAGTACTTACACGAGAAAGTACATTTAATATATGATAGTTTCTTAACCTAATTAACTTGACAAATTAAACATTTTCTTAATAATACTAGAAGCATTTAAATAATGCCTACTATGTGCCAGGGACCATGCTAAGTACTTTATTAATATCTCCTTCAATCCACGCAACAACCATTGGAGGTAGGAGCTATTATCCTCATTTTTTGCAATTGAGGAAACTGAGGCAGGTAGTGGTTAAGTGATTCACCCAGGATCCCACAGCTAGTAAGTGTCTGAGGTCAAATTTGAACTCAGGTCTTCCTGAATCCCAGACTTAGGGCTGTGTGCACTGTGGCACCCCCATCTGACTGCACATAGGCTGAAGACTCCTTGAAAGGAGACTCTCTTGATAATTGGGGATCATAGATCATAGATCCCCAATCCCCAGACTTGGAGAGCTGAAAGGGCACTGAACAGCCAATCCACTTTCCCATCTCACACCCAGCAAGGGATTATCCAGCTGCAGCCCATTCTGATGCTGGACAGCTCCCGTTGGCACTCCCCTGCAGGGCTCCTGGGACACACAACAGCCCTTTGGACACCTGATACCTGCGCACAGCTATCACACCTGCCCCCTCCCCATCCCCAGTCTTCTCCAAGCTAAATAGCTTTAGTTCCTTTGACAGATGCTCTTAGGACGTGAATGGGAGGTTCCTCCCCATCCTGGTTGCTCCCCCGACCATGCTCTCTAGCTTATCAGTGTTATTTTTCTAATGTGCCCAGAACTGAAGCTAATACTTCTGATGGGGTCTGACCAAGGAAGAGAACAGCAGGACACTCCCTCCCCACCCCTGGCACTCTGCCCCTCTTAATGAAGTCCAAGGCTATATGACCTTTGGGACCAGCATGTCAAGCTGCTGACTCATGCTGAGGTCACAGTTCACTCAGAGCTCCAGGTGGCTTTCAGACAGACTGCCTCCCCTGCTTTATTCTTGTGCCATTGGCTTTCTGTTTGAATCCAGGTATGACACTTTACATAGATCCCTACTGAATTTCTTCTGATTGGATCTAGCCCAGTGCTCCAGCCTGATCTTTTTGGAGTCTCACTTTATCATCCACTGTATTAGCCATTCTCGAACCTGTGGGTCTGCAAATCTGCTGAGCATGCTGTCTCTGCCTTGGTCTAAGTCACTGATAAAAAATGTTAAACATCAAGGCCAAGCCCTGATCCCTGAGGCACTCCACTGGAGACCTCTTGCCAAGCTGATGAGGGATTGTTAATTAATTACCCAGTCACTCAACTCATTGTAGTCCACACCACTCCATCTTTTCCACAAGAATAAGATGGAGTCCTTTACTAGAGGCTTTGTCAAATCTAGAACCAGCAGATCTACAGCATTCTTGAAATCCTACAATCTTTGTAATCACATCATAAAAGAGAAGAAGGTTTGCCTGGCAGGGCCCCAACACAGTGAAGCCAGGCTACTTGTCCTTTCTAGACACTCACTCCTGGAGTCTTTCACGATCTGTTCCAGAATTTTCCCAGGGGTGCAAGTCAAGCTCTCTGGCTTGGCGCAGTCCAACTCTCTTCTGTGTCTTCTTTGAGAGTTTGGCATCTGCCCTGGGCCAGGCCTATGCCACCCCACAGATCTTCCCCAGTCTTTCAGAATCCCAGGCAATCAGATGGCTGGTCTCCTGCCCTAGCTTCTAGCATCTGGACACTTCTAGTTAAAAGCTGAGACACAGGATGAGTTCTCTGAGATGTTGACTGGTCCCTTCAGATCCCACCCACCCCCATTTCCCCTCTTCATTGCAAAGGTTTCCCTTTGAGTCCTTAATTTCGTTTTTTGAGGTTCTGGCCCTCTGTGGGCTGACTTCACTACAGCAAAGGCTTCTGACCCTTCTTGTGTTGGGCAGGTGAAGCCTGTGGACTTCTCTGAATCATTTTTAAATGCACAAAATAAAATACCTGGGATAACAAAGCAAACCAATTATATCAAAATAAAGGTGTCGGGGGTTTTCCATCTTCGCACCCCCCTCCAGGTTAAGAACCCTTGCCCTTAGAATTTTAGGGCATGAGATCCAAACTGGCCTTGCTCTGAATCTGCTTTACTCAGACCTGGGCTGCATGTCAGACTATGCCCAGCTTTCCTCTGTCCCAAACTCCAGCATGCAATGAGTGGTCCTCACCCCTTAGGGCTCCCAAAATTTCTGATTGTGGCAGCCAGAAGGAGCCAGAGTACACAGAGCACTGGGCCTGGAGTCAGGAAGACCTGAGTTCCAATCCAGTCTCAGACACTAGCTGTGGGACTTTGGGCAAGTCATTTAACCTCTGTCTGCCTCAGTTTCCTCAACTGTAAAATGGGAATACTAACAGTACTTACCTCCCAGGGTTGTTGTGAGGATCAAATAAGATAATATTTGTAAAGCCCCAAGCCCAGTGCCTGGCACATAGAATGAGCTATAGAAATATGATAATCATGATTATAATTATTCTGATAGATTGAGTTTCCCTGTTAATAGGGAATCAAAAGTTGTCTTACTTTCTACTATTCAGCTATGCCTCAAGTGACAAGTGACATTTTAGCCACGTAATGTATCTGACTTTGTAAATTGATTTTGATCTGATTTTTCCTTTCCTTTCCTCCCTCCAGCTTAAAGACCTTTAAGGGGACCGGCTGTGCCTTATCAAGATGGTAGACACCGAGAGCCAGATCTGCCCCCTTTCTCCCTTCGGTGATGATGATCTGGAAAGCCCACTCTCAGAAGAGTTTCTCCAAGAGATGGGGAGCATCCAGGAAATCTCTCCATCCATTGGCGATGACAGCTCGGGCACCTTTGCTTTTGCAGAGTATCGCTGTTTGGGAAGTGGTCCAGGCTCAGACGGCTCCATCATTACAGGTCAGTGTTTTATTTTCTGGCAGGTTGGGTCAGACTTTTGTTTTCAGACCAAACCATTTCATCTGTGGGGGAAATCAATCAATGAACACTTATTGAGTATCTACTGTGTTCCAGGCTCTGTGCTAAGCTCTGGGAATACAAAAAGAGGCAAAAGACAGTCCCTGCCCTCAAGGAGCTCACACTCTAATGGGGGAGAGGATCCATAAAGCAAGTTGTGTGCAGGATAAATAGGAAATAACTAAGAGAGCGAAGGCACAGGAATTAGGAGGGGCTGGGGAAGGCTTCCTGTAGAGGGTGGCATTTTAGCTGACAATTAAAGGGAAGGTGGTCGGTGGAACTGAGGAGGGAGGCTGTTCCAAGCATAGGGGATGATGAGCAAAGAAAATGCACAGAGCTGAGAGCTGGAGAATCTTGTTGGTGGAGCAGCCACGAGGCTGGGGTCACTGGAGTGAAGAGGACACATCTGGGGAGTCTGGTATAACAAGACTGGAGAGGGGAGAGGGGGCAGGTTATGAAAGACCCTGAATGCCAAGCAGAGCATTTTGTGTCTGATCCTGGAGGCCAGAGGGAGCCACTGGACATGTTTGAACCTGTGCTTTAGGAAAATCACTTCAGTGGCTGAATGGAGGATGGAGTGGAGTGGAGAGATCCTTGAGGCAGGCAGTCTCTTCCCTCTGGCAGCTGTTGCTATAGTCCAGGTGTGAGGTGATGAGGGTCTGCGCTAGAGGGGTGGCAGTGTTAGAGGAGAGGAGGGGGCTTATTCAAGAGATGGTACGGGGGGGAAATTGACAGGCCTTGGCACCATTTTGGACCTAGGAGGAGGAGGTAAGCTGTAGTGAGGAGCCCTACCATGTCTCCTAGGTTGTAAGCTTGGGAGACTGGAGGATGGGGGTACCCTCTACAATAATAGGGAAGGTAGGTGGGGAGAGTTTAGGGACAAAGATCACAAGTCCTGTTTTGGACGTATTGAATTTAAGATGTCTACTGCAGATTGGAGGTCAGCACAGAGTCTGGGGCAGAAAGTGGTAGTTTTGAGAATTGTCAGCATAAAGATGGTCATTAAACCCATGGGAGCTGATTAGGTCACCCAGAGAAGCAGTACCAAGGGAGAAGAGCAGAGGACCCAGGACAGAGCCCAAGGGACCATCCCTGGTTAGAAGGTGTGACCTGGAGGAGGATCCAGCCAAGGAGACAGAGAAGGAGCAGTCAGAGAGAGAGGAGAAGAACAGGGGTCTCCAAAAACCTATAAGATTTAGAAATAGAAACTACAAAAAGGTCATATACAAGCAAACCTCACCAGTCACTTCATATCTGAAGTAAACCAGGTGTTAACTCAGGAGGCTGTCTTAGCCCACCTCATGGACCAGCATGGTGGGTAGCCAAAGGAGAGGGAGCCTTCCTCACAGAGATTCCCTGGGGACCGTTGTGGCTAACAGGGGCAGCTCACAAAGCATGCCAAAGCAGTGGGCACCCCCAGATGGCAGAGCTGCGAGCTGGCCACAGGGAATCCTGCTTTGCTCCAGTCATGTCAATCAGGTTCTCCCTCCCAGTTTCCCTTGGTGGGGGGTGACCTGTCAGACCAGTTTCAAAGAGAAGGGCTCCTTTAAAAAACTATTTTTCTAGCCATAATTAGATTTCTGTTTCCTATCTAATCTGATCCTTTGTTAAACTGTTTTCCCAAAATGATGCAAGTTACTGATGGAGAAGGGCCTTGTCTAAAGCATATTTACTTTTTGCAAAAGGTTAGACCTTGGAAGCCTGGCGAGTGAAGGTGGATTTTTCCAAGCAAACAAGAAGTTTTGTGTTTTCCTCATAACCATGATATTCTGAGGCTTCCTTTTAGGAAGCAGGTAGACTGGGGAAAGAGAAGTTTCTGTAATGAGACAGATTACTGCAGTAATTGATTAAGAGGAGAGATGACTTCATATTCTGAAAGTCCAAATGCATGTGGCCTGGAAATTAAGAGGAGGGTCCACAGGAAATCTGGCAGATTTGGCCTGTGTCCATTCGTACAATGAATGAGCTAAGTGAGGCAAGGGGGAGAATCGGAGCAGCCTCAAGCCCCCCCTGGGGGGGTGGAGAGGGATGGGGGAAGATAGGAATGGGAGTATGGCCCCAAATGTAGTCCCTCCTGGAGGAGGGGGTGGGGGGGCTCGGCAATTCAGGCCAGCTGAGAGAAAGGAGAGGACTCTGAGGCGGAAACCCTCCATTCCCTGCCTCAGTAAGAGGAGTCAGCAGGCAGGCAGGGAGGCTATTGCCTCAGCCCAAAGGGCCACCAGCTGCAGGGACTGTGAATGAGCTACTTGGCTAAGGGCAGGTAACGATAATCCTCCACTGAGACTAATGAGAACGTTCCATCCCCGATTAGAGGCTTCAAAGGAAGAAAGGTTCTTTTGCATCTCCTTTGTGGGGCTCCATCTGGCAGGCCGTAAGAATCAGCCCCCCAGGCTCCCTTCTGCTGCTCAGGGCTGTCCTTATGGGTGGTGGGAGAGCTTTCCCCTGACCCCCAGAGCAGGCTTCCTCTCCTCCCCTCCCTGAGGAGCAGGGGGGAGGGGCTCCTGACACACCCTCTTCCCCAGCCACAGCCTTCTTTCCTGGGCTTGTGTTTTGCCCTCTCTCCATTAGACTGCAAACTTCTTGAGGACAGGGGAGGTCTTTCTTTTAACCAGTTGTATCCCCAGTGCTTAACACCGTGCCTGGCACATCGTGGACACTTAGTAAATATTTATTGGATTGGTTTCCTCCCTCTTTGGACCCACCTGGGCACCTACTTCGCAGGGTGCAGGGAGGCAATCCCCCGCCCCACCCCAGGGCCAGAATGTTCTATCTGTGTAATAGTCTTTTGTAAAGAGTCGACACTGGTCCAGGAGGATATTTCAGCTGTTTACCCAACTTCTTACACTTTCTTGTTGGTACTCTTAAATTTCATAATTTCTTCTATTGTTCTTACACAGATAGCCTTTGGGCAGTGGAATGCGATGGCTTGCAGCTTTCAACAGAGTCTTCCCTTTTCTTTCAGACACTCTGTCCCCAGCGTCCAGTCCTTCGTCTGTGAGTTACACCCCAATCGCAGGCAGTGCTGATGACTCTTCCAGTGCTACCTTAAACATAGAGTGCAGAATTTGTGGGGACAAAGCCTCTGGCTACCATTATGGTGTGCATGCCTGTGAAGGTTGCAAGGTAAGCGTGGTGGCTGCCAGGCCATGAGCCCAGCCTTGGAGCTAGTGTTCTGTCAAATGAGCTTCTCACCGGCAAAACAAAAAAAATGTTGAGTGAGGTCTGGGTGTGGGCCACTGACTGGTTGAGTGGCCTGGGGCGAGTCCCGACCTCTGTCTCCTCCACTCCAGAGGAAGGGGTGAGACTAGATGGTTTCTAAAGCCTTTCTTAGGGACCTGACACTTTGCTTTGTTCCCTCTGCCTAAAAAGAAGAGAACATTCCATAGCCCCTGAAAAGACTCTCTTAGTGTTCTCAGAAATTCATCTTCTGTAAACATCTCCACAGAGTTCTCCTTTCCTTCGGTGGCGCCTAACTAATGGTCATGGGGAGTGTCCTGGGGAGAGAGGCGTCATCTAGACCACTCAGGTCACTAACCCACTCACCATCCATGCCCGGGCTTAGAGAATCGTCCTTAAGGGAAGTATGGAGGGCATCTTCTCCCACAGAGTAGGAACGCGTGGCCCTGAAACAACACACTCTCCCAGGCCCCTCCTCGCACTGGCTGGACCATGTGCATCCAACTGCAGCCCAAGGACCAGCCTCACTAAGGACAGAGAGGCCATAAGGGCAGTAATGGGTCTGGACACAGCAAGTCATGGAGTAGGTACAGGGCCTGCGATCTGCACTGGTGAAGGGTTGGGATCTGTATTGAGGCTTTTGCAGACCCAGGATATGGCCAGGGTGGGAGCTGTGACACAGTAGGAGGCTGAGGCCAAATCCACTGGGTTAGAAAGTGTGTGAGCTGCTGGCTCTGTCGTCTATGGTCCTTTTTCTTTTTTTCATCATAAACATTTTAATTTGTATTTAAAACAAGCATCATTATAGCAAAGTATATGACATACACATTTGTACATAAAAGCATTACCACATTATTTTAATTAAAAAATGTACGGGTGGGTAGTGTTTTTGGTGAAAGATTCGAAATCTTTTGAATGAATTTTAAAGCTATGGTTGTGTTAAATGGGACTATATACACAGGTAAAGTGGGCATCTTGAGAGGCATAGCAGCAGCAGTCCCTTAAAGGCTTTTTACACCAGGAGAAAATGATCATTATCTTTTCCTCCTGCTGTTATCATTTTCCTTTAGAAAGCAGGCGATTTTAGCTCCTTATGCTTGGTCATTGCTTCCCTAATGATTTCCATTTGTTGACGTCTCATGCGGAAGTTGTGTGTGAGTCCTCTTCTTTTCTTTGCTTAAATGGACAGTTTCTTTCCTCAAAGAAATCTGATACAAATACAACAAGAAGTACTGCAGCCACAGCTCCCTGGATGAGTCCAGTCAGCACATCACTCCAGGGATGTTCATAATCAGAAACAGGAGAAAGCCCCTCCTAGACAGATGAAGGGATGGAAGCAAACTGGAGTGCGGGGCGCAGAAGTCGTGCCCAATCCGCCTTCATTGTGGCTTGGAGATAAAGTGCGAGGAGCAGCGCGCAGTCCGTGGAACATGAAGAACGCCGGGAATAAAATGAGAATAGAAGAAATAGGCAGAGTGAACCCCACTGCGTAGAGGAGAGGGGACGGGACGGTGCTGTCACGGCTCAGATGCTTGATGCTGTTGTCGCTGCAGAAAAAGCCTCTCTGATATGGCTTTATTTTGGCCGAGTTTAGAACAGTCAAGGGCAAGGCAGCCAGAAACAAGCAGACCAAGCCCAGGGCCACGAATGGCAAGCGTGTCTTGTCGAACACCTTCTCGGCCCCGGGGCGGCCGCACGGAGGGGCGGCCAGGAGGGACGGGAAGGCGACCCCCGAGGACGGCTCCTCCCCGGGACAGGGCCCATACTGCACCAAAGCAATGGCGCCTCGAGAGTCCGGAGCCCCGCCGCCGGCCTGCGCCGCACTAGCCGGCAGGAGCTCGAGCTCGGCCGCCTCCGCACAGCCCGCCCTCCCGAGCGATCTCTTCTATGGTCCTTTCTATGGAAGGACTGTGAATGCCTCTTACAGTGAATGGCTTTCCAGGCATTTCCCCCAAGCCTCAGCTCTGTGACAAGACTATGTGAGGAGAGAGAGGCTTCAGGCTTCTTAAAATCTCTCTCCAGCCATGGCCTTGAGGTTCACAAGTTGTACCCTCCCCATGAAGAAGTGAGGAGTTGGAAGACCCTTCATGTTGAGCAGAACTTTTTTAACAGAGAATTTACTTTCCCCTTAAATTTAAGTCACCAGAGGGGGCTCCCCAGGCAGGCCCACTCCCCACAGACACCTCCCAGTAAAGCCTCTGGTCGCCCTGGCCACCTTCACACCACAGCCAGGCACCAGAGGTGAGCTTCTGGACCCTTGAGACTGCACCTGTTGTTCTAAGCCCAGCTGAGTTGGGCAGCCAGTGTGGGGCCACCTTCGAGCCCGGGCAGCTCCCACACCCTCGCTCCATGGCTGTAGAAGGTTGTGGCCTGCTCCCTTGTGTTGGGACCCACACTAAAGAAACCTCAGCTTCCTGAGAGGAGTCAGGGGCTTCTGAGACACCAGAAAAGGACAGTGCAGCCCAGTGGGTTGGGTTTCAAAGCACAATTCCTAGTTGTTGCTAAGCCGCATGCTTATCTCTCACAGGGCTTTTTCCGGAGGACTATTCGCCTTAAGCTTGCCTATGACAAGTGTGACCGCAGCTGTAAAATTCAAAAAAAGAATCGTAACAAGTGTCAATATTGCCGTTTCCAGAAGTGCCTTTCAGTTGGAATGTCACACAATGGTAGGTAAGGCCACCCTTCCTCCCTCTGGCCTCCCTCCATCCCTCTCTCTTCTCTTCTTCCTTCCCTCCATTCCCTCCGTCCTTGCCTCTCTTCTTCCCTCTTTCCCTCTCCTCCTTCCCTCCTTTCTTTCTTCCTTCCTTCCCTCCCTCCTTCCTCCTCCCTCCTCCTTCCTCCCTCCCTCCCTCCTTCCCCCTTCCTTCCCTTCCCCCTCCTTCATTCTCTCCTTCCTTCCCTCCTCCCTTGGACCTTCTCTCCTTCCATCCCTTTCTCTTTTCCTTCTCTCCCTCCCTCCTTCCTTCCTCCCCTCCCTTCTTTCTTCTCTCCCTCCCTTCTTCCCCTCTTCCCTCCTTCCCCCCTCTTTCCTTCTCTCCTTCCTTCCCTCTCTCCCTCCCAGGGTTTTGTTTGGTTTTTTTTTGAGAGTCCCTGCTGGGTGTCTCCTCTTGGTATTCTACTGCTTAATCACCATAACATGCTTTTCATTCAAAGAATCCTAGGGAAGGGGGGGATGGGGAGTTGAGCTCTCTTTGGAAAAAGAAAAAGGAATGGTTTTGTCCCTGAGGAAGAGGTTCTGTATGGCTCTGTATTTCTGAATCTGCTTTCAAGCCTGAAAGATGGCCTCTGCTAGAATCCTGCCCCAATGCTTCCATGAGCATGGGGTAGGGGGGGCACTGTGGCTCTGGAAGACCAGCCTGCCCCAGAGTTTCACCAAGATGGACAGGGCCCCCGTGAGTTAGTTCATGGGGTGCAGGGTGAGGGGTCAAGGTTTTTGACTCCTCAGGGCTCAGCCCTGGAGCAGGAGGAAGAAGAGGACCCATGAGTGGAGTCATTGTGAGCCCCCAGGGGTGATAAGCCCTTGCACACATGTCCCTATTCTAGAAGAGATTAGAAGAGGCTGCCCCTGGCTGGGGCTTTACTCCCCAGTTCTTTCCAGATGTGCCTCCAAGCCCTGCCTGTGGGCAGGCTCCTCTCCTAGGGTAGTTGCTGGAGCACCCCCAGCTTGAGCTTCCAAAGCACAGGCTTCAGGTCCCCAACATCCAAATGGGCTCATAGATGGTCTCCTTGTCTGTCTGTGGGTACAGAGACTGGAAATAAACTCCCTTCCAGGGACCAAATCAAGTAAGCTCTGATTCACATCCCTTTTCCTCTCCAGTAGCCTCATAGACTGCCTAATCTGCCTGGAAAGTCCTCACCTAGCACCAGGCAAACCGGAGGTCATCCCACCATTTAAATAAAGCAGCATTTCTGATCTGAGAGATAGCCCTTTCCTCCTAACCCATCTCTAGTCTGGCGTCTACACATTCCATTTCTGTCCAATGAGGTGTTTGTCATATGTGTAGCACTGAGCCCATAATGCAGAGTAGGGCTTAATAAACGCTCATTCTGTTCTCCCTCCCCAGCACAATGAAATTCTGATTTTCACTTTCACCTTGACCTTGCCATTAAAATGCAAAATCAAATGGTACCAGGGAATGGCCTTTATTTCACTTGTCTGTTTTTAGTAATAGCCTCGTTGCTGTCCTAAAGGGGGCATTCAGCAAGGAGTCATTCTCATTTTAGGAATGAGACTCTTCCTTGTGACATGATTTTAATTTCTGCCCCTATTTCTCCACCATCTTTCCCCCCAGCCATCCGTTTTGGGAGAATGCCAAGATCTGAAAAAGCAAAATTAAAAGCAGAGATTCTTACATGTGAACACGATTTAGAAGATTCAGAAGTTGCAGATCTCAAGTCTCTTGCCAAGCGCATTTATGAAGCCTACCTGAAAAACTTTAACATGAACAAGATCAAGGCCAGAATCATCCTGGCAGGGAAGGCCAGCAACAACCCAGTAGGTGTCTTTGTTTCCAATTTTTTGTGGGTGACAACTGAAAGGGGGCCAGTGTAGAACTCAGAGACCTTGGTGTAGTCAGCTCTTTTCCTGCCCTTCATTTGTTTTTTTTTGCTTTTTTGGTGAGGCACTGGGGTTAAGTGACTTGCTCAGGGTCACACAGCTAGAAGTGTCAAGTGTATGAGGCTGAATTTGAACTCAGGTCCTCCTGACTCCAAGGCTGGAGCTGTATCCACTGTGCCACCTAGCTGCCCCAAACCTTCATTTTCTAAAAGAAGAAACTGCGGCTGTGGGTAGTGGGAGAGCAGAGGAGAAGAGGGACCTGCCCAAGCACTGGAACGCAAGTCTTCTGGCATTCGTGGGTGCCTTGATCCTTATCCTTTCACTGCTCAGCTCTTTTGTTCTTTCCACTGACACTGTTGTAATGCGTGTTTATCATGTCCTCCCGATTCAGCTCACTTCACTCTGCGTCAGTTCATAGAAGTCTTCCCGGGCTTCTCTGTCTTCCTCACATGCATCATTTCTCATTATTCAGTTGTTCAGTCATGTCCAACTCTACTTGACCCCCTGGCCTTTTGTCCATGGCGTTTGCTTGGCAAAGATACTAGAGAGGTTTGCTATCTCCTTCTCCAGTGTGCCCCCATTGTACAGATGAGGAACTGAGGCAAATAAAAGTTAAGTGACTTGACCAGGGTCACACAGCTAGTAAATGTCTGAGGCCAGACTTCCTGATTCTAAGATCTATCCACTGCCCCTCCTAGCTGCCCTATCGTTTCTTCTAGCTCAGCAACATTCCATTATGTTCACAGACCACATTTTGTTTAGCCATTCCCCAACCAGCAGACATCTACTTTTGTTCCTAGTTTTTTGCTGCATGTGCCACAGTGAATGATTTGGGGTCTGTGGGGCTCTTTCTTTGACGGATCCCTGGGTCGAAGGGTGTGGATATTTGCATCACTTTCCCAACATAGCTCGACATCACTATCCAGAATGGCTGGGCCATTTCACAGCTCTGCCAACAATGCATTAGTGTGCTGAGCCTCCCACAGCCCTCCAGCATTGAGTGCTTCTCTGCCGATTTCTGGGTGTGAAGTAAGCCTCTGAATGGCTTTGATTTGCTTTTCCCTTGTCAGTAGTTAGCCCTTTGGCATAGTCTTTCACAGTCTTGTTCACAGTTTGTAACTCTCTTGAGAAGTATTTGCTCCTCTCTCGTGACTACTTCCCAGCTGGGAAAAGAGCAGCTTTCGTCTGTTTGCCATCAGGCAGCCATCGCCCCAAAAGCACAGAAGACAAATGAGAGTTTAATGGGAGGGGCAACATTTAGTAATGCTTCACAGTCACAGCCATTTGACTAAAAGTTGCTTGACACCAATTCCTGGCTTCTCTCTTTGTTTAGCACATAGTAATGGAGGGAGCAATCTAGGAGTCCAAGGTAGACCGGGATTCAATTCCCACCTCAGAAAAATACTCACTGTGTGACCTTAGGCAAGGATTCATGTCTATAAAGTGCTTTGCAAACAGTGTGGTGGGACAGACATGTCTGCTAAGGCTATTATCACTTTTGTTTTGTTTTTGGTGAGGCAATCAGGGTTAAGTGACTTGCCTAGGGTCACACAGCTAGTAAGTGTCAAGTGTCTGAGGCCGAATTGGAACTCAGGTCCTCCTGACTCCAAGGCTGGAGCTGTATCCACTGCGCCATCTAGCTTCCCCTGCTGTCATCGCTTATGATGACTACGGAATGGAGCAGAGAATAATTGCCCTGCTTTAGAGAAAGTACAGTGTATCATTGGGAATTCAAAAAAATGTTTTGTTTTCAAAATTCTCGTCTTGGAAACCCATTCATTCCTGCCTCCCACCCCTTGTTCCAGTCCCCATCTCTCCTCTTTCTCTCTCTCCCCAACTCCCCCTACCCGCCATGATCTGGATCTTCCCTTGGTAGTAGCAGGGGGGACATCAGGGCAGAAGGGCCGTGTGTGTCAGCAGGCAGGCTTTGGGAGGGACATCTTATCCCCCTCATCCACCAAACACATCTTGGACTGCTGTCGTCATCCACCAAGCACCTTCCTAGGCACACACTCCCCTGGCACTGATCACCTCTGCTTGAACTAATCACCAAATGCCCTCCACACTAGGTAGTCTGGTCCTTGCACTGGCAAAGGAAAATCGGGAGCTGCTTCTTTCTAAACATGGTCAAACAAGTTTCTTCTGTGCTAATGAGTAGTTTGAAGCTGTTCTTATTCTGAGTTATAAAAGGAGATTTTTCTTATTTCACAAGCTGCTCACTTTCATGAACACACCAAGCCTCCTTTTACAGAGCCTTTCATTCTGCAGGACATCCCCAATTAAAGAGAAGCTGGTCGGTTTGAAGTTTAAACAAGCCTTATTTATTAAATTGGTAAAACCGTGCCCTGGCTGAGCCACCCACAGGCGCAAGGGTGCTGGCAATAGCAGCGGAAGCAGGCCACGCCCCCAGTGGGGAGGGGAAAGAAAGCAGAAAATGCCGGTGGCGTTCCCGGGCTTGGGCTGGATTGTTTTTTAAAGAAGATTTCAGAAGAAGAAGGTGGAGTTTTGCAACCAAGAAGGTAACTGATCACTTTGGGTACCTGGTGCTCTTTTGCCCTGGGCTTGGCCCTGTGGCCTGGCCCTTGCAGCTCTCCTGCTGAAGACTGGTTTTGCCAATGACTGGAGGTGAGGCAAGGTCAGGTTCCTCTGAGGACACACACATATATACACAGGTACACACATGCACAAATACACACATACTCACACACAACACAGGTACACACATACACAGAGATATGCACACACAATTACACACCCACAGATACACATGTACTCACACACACATACACACACGCACACACACATACTCTCAAGAGAAGAATCTGTTTTGCATTCAGATCCTGCCAGGAGGACTGGCTGGGTGTAGGTGTATTGAGGGGGGTGGGCACCTCTAGTGAAAGGGCCGCTGAGCCCTCTTCAGGGCTGCTCATCCACCTTCGGTGTCCACCTGCCCCCCAGCTCTCGCCTGTGGCTCCAGGAAGCTGCAGCCTGTGCGGCAGCTGGCCGCACCCTGGTAAAGGGTCCTGGCAGATGGGCTAAACCAGGTTGAGGGTCACCAACAGGAACTCATTGGTGAGTTAGGGGTTCTACCCCATGCATGTGAAGACCTCCCTCTGTGGAATGGGCAGAAGAGAACAATGTGTTCCAACAGCCTGAAGATGCTGACGCGGGTGCCAGGAGCACGCAGAGCTTGGTCAGGTACTGAAGATGCCAAGGATACTCACTGCATCCCCGCCCTTACCACTCATCCTGACTTTGCCGCTGGACTTTGATGACTCAGGGAGACAGTGAGGCTGGCCCACTAGTCACAACGTCACCCCGTAAAGTCAGGGGTCCTCTTTGAACGGAAAGGACGAGCCACCAGAACCACCTCAGTGCAGCGTTTCGCACTCCAGGCATGGAGGCCAGGAAGATCTGCACTCGCTGGGGCCCAGGGTCCGCTCAGTGAATCACATTAAACAGAACCGTGAACCTTTGCTGGGGAGTCTGGCCCTCCGCTCTTCCCTTGGTGATATACCCCCGGGCTGAGCACTGTCCCTCGGCCAGCCCTTCAGCCTGTGCTGGGCCACGTCACCCCTCCATTCTTGGTCACCAGAAAAGACAAGCATCTTCTGCTCGATGAGGGCCCTGCTGCTGGTGCCACGCATGTGGCTGGTGACTGTGGGCAGCCTTGGGCATCTGGAGAGAAGGCTGTTTTGGGATTCTCACCAGGGGCTTCAGGGCATCACCTACAAGGCCACACTGACCCTTGCTCTTCTTCAAAGAGAGAGGAGATGGTAGGTTAGCTCTGGTACCAATGAGAGAAGCCTGAGAAGATGGGGCTGGTGCCCTTCAAATGCACAGATGTTCCCAAGGGTCCGGCTTGTCCCTGATCTAGGCACAGTCCTGGGGGACTATGAAGAAGAAAAAGGAGAGGCCGTCCCAGGAGAGCGAAGGCCCTAACCCTAACCCTAATTGCACTCTTTCCCACCTCTGTACCTTTGTGATGGGCTGGCTTTCCCCTTCCCTGGACCATCCTTCTTCTGAACCCTGCCCCCACCTCAGAATGTCTGCAGCGTCATCAGCTGCTCTGGCCTGAGGCCTTTCCTGATTCCCATCTTCATGTCACTTACATGCATGCATGCATGTATGCATGCATATGTGTAGGTGTCATCTATGCATCTTTGTGTCTCCTTATGTGTGTATTGGCTGCTTCCCTCATAGAACATAAGCTCCCTGAGGACAGGAACTGTTTTGTTTTTGTCCTTGTATCCCTAGTACCCAGTCCAGGGCCTGGCAAGATACAGATGTTTAATAAATGTTTGTTGATAGGCTGATAGAACCTAACAGTTGAATAACTGAAATACCAAGGGCTGTGAGAGCAGAGGAGGAAAAGGGCACCCCAGCTGGGGAGGAGAGGTCATGGGGAGAGCTCTGGGAGGAGGCGGTGGTTAGCCCTGGGCCTTGAAGGCTTGCTAATGGAGGAAAAGGAATTTTGAGGATGAAGATGCAAGTCAGAGGCAGGAAGAGGGGATGAGGCCAGTGAGGAGTCTGGGAGCAGCCCCTCTGCACAGCCAGCCCCACCATTTGCTAGGAACAAAAGTAGCAAGAGTCATTATTATTGGCTTAGACACCAACCGCGATGGAACTTGAACCCACAATAACAGGGTGCATTTCCACAGTGCCTGGCAGGTGCAGAGCTTTGGACAAATGCCCTTCGTTCCATGTTCTGGGTGGGTGTACTTGTTATCACCATTTTACACATGAGGAAACTGAGGCTAGAGAGGTGAAGTGACTAGGCCAGGGTCACCCAGCTGGTCAGATACGAGATGATGACAGAGGAGTTACCTTGATCATCTGGGATAAAGGACCATAAAAAACCCAGTGAAAATCCGAATGCTGTTTCTTTCCTGTTTTCCCCTTCCCTCTCTTACACTTGACAGATAGCATCCCTTTGC